TTAATTACAATTATCTATAAGACGTATTTTCATATAATTACTTCAATATTTGCACTTAATCGTAAAGCTGAATTTTTGTGAAAGGTGTGTTTTTATAAGTTTTCTATCACAAATATATATATATATATATATATATATATATATATGTATATATATATATATATATATATGTATATGTATATATATATATATATATATATATATATATATATATATATATGTATATGTATATATATGCTGCTTTGTGAAACGAGACATATCTCAGTTTTTTTGTTATTTATTATATAGTTAAATTATATATTTTTTATATTCGATATCAATGGCTAACACCAAAATATTGCATCATGTTTTTGTATAGGCGTTACTCTAAAAAAATACAAAAGCCCATTTATCTACAAAATTCGTAAATGCATGTAACTAAATGACGATACAATAGTTATGGGATGTATCTAAGTGACCTTTATCCGAACGTTAAATGTGAATAGCGTTTATTGGTTTCGGTGCGAGAAGTTATCGAATCCGAGTCGATTTCGCTTTCCGAGACGATTGTGAATAGCCCGGCAGGAATTGAAACTGTCATAATTAATTAATGTTTTGTGTTCTTCATTACAATATAATACAACCAAACGTCATTGTAACGAATTACTTTGTTATTACGAATATTTTATAATCTCCTTCAGATTTATTATGTCAAGGTTTCCCTGTATTATTAGAGTAACTGTGCTTGATTAGCGTCTTAATAAAGTACCTACTTATATTTTATTATTGATCGTCAAAGTAAATTAGAATTGATATTATTGTAACCTTTCGATTTACGCCCTTTGTGTTACATTTATCTTAACTAGCTTTAATGGCCTCTTTGTACTCGGGGCGTCGTCGTAACTGTAACGCTGTGATTGAATCTAGCATACTGACATTACGTACTATATTAATTTTGTTGTACAAGATTTGTTATAGGGCAGGCTTTCTCAAACCTTATACCCCTATGAAATTTTTCAAAATAAGGTTTTTATTAAAAAAAAACTAACGACCCGCCTGGGTTTCGCCTTGATGGGATCATTAAAGCAATGTTATTTAGATTTTAGATAATAATCGAAGCTCCATTTATTATCCATTTTTCGTTTTTTCTAACAAAATCTTCAAGTTATTCGCATAAAATTTAGATCTCTCCTGGCATTGACATCTATCTGTTCATAAAGTTTTATCACAATTGGTTCAATCATTGCGAAGATTAACCAGGGCAGATAAACAACAGATTTTTTTAATGGTTGTTTAAGTCTTAATAGTTAATGCATGAAGAAGATAATGAATCTGAAAGAAGCGAAAGAGGTATGTAAGGATCGTGACACTTGGCGATCTGTTCTCTCTGGCTACCCCGTCAGGGATTGTGCGTGAAGATAAGTAAGTAGTAAGTCTTAATAGCATGCAAATATCTCCTCGAGTTTAAAAATAATATTTCAATATTACAGACAAACACTTCAATTTTATTTATATATTTTATAGATATAATAAGGCAAATAATGTGCGAGCAATGCCTCCTTTCCGCTATTTAAACCATTGAAACTATGTAATGTCCCAACCGCAAGCAAAGGCGGTGGTGATTATGCACATGCAGTAATACAAATGATGCGTAGCGCGCTAGAACCAGTCTGCTTTCAAAACATTTATCTTACCGTGACACCCTATGATCAACTTGCGTACCCTACGTTGAGCAACCCTGTATAAGGAATTGAAAAAAAGATATGGACCCAGATAGTTGCTGAGGTCTTATTATTGGAACCGGTGTTAGACATTGAAGTTTATAAGAGTGTGGCGGCGCTGTCGTCGCGCCACAAGCGAAACACAACGAAGCCTAAATCGCGCTAACAAAGTTCCGAAATTAAAGCAATATATATAGAATAGCTCCGAACTACCACTCGGAGCGTTAGCCACTCCCCGGGCTGAACACCTTGCCCGGCGGGAGATCTCCCCTTTTCTTTCCACCCGCCACAGTGGTGACCCCGACGTGATATGAACACACAACCAACGACCTTCGGAAACTACATCATCAAAACCTTCGTCATCGTCCTCAAGTACCCCATTCATTCGCTCCCGAGCAGATATTGTCTGCAGTCTTCACATTCTGCAAGCCATCTAGCTTTATAAAGGTTCATCGCAGCACTGGAATAATAATGCTTCCTGTTCCTTCAAGATACTCTCTGCGCTACAGTGCTCGGCACGGCTCTGAGCCTTACTACTCGCCTCTGCTTCACGACACTCTCGCAGATTACTTGCCTTCTTCTCGACTCACCGTAGACTTACAAGGCAATTCCCTGGCACTTGCAAATTTGTCGACATCTGGACTGCATTATCGACCTCCGGTCTGAGCAGGGGGGTGATGGGGCGGCGCTGTCGTTGCGCCACGAGCGAAACACATCGAAGCCTAAATCGCGCTAACAAAGTTCCGAAATTAAAGCAATATATTATATAGAATAGCTCCGAACTACCACTCGGAGCGTTAGCCGCTCCCCGGGCAGAACACCGTGCCGGGCGGGAGATCTCCCCTTTTCCTTTCACCCGCCACAAGAGCTTGAAGGCATCCTTTCTCTTATAAAGAATATACGTGGTAGAGTCATGCTACTCGACCAGAGTAGCACCCTGTTCTCACAGCATATCAGCGTATTTAGACAGCGAGAGCCTTTCATCCTGGTCCTCAAGTGAACAGTGTGCCCGTTTGTCACTCTACTTATATAAAAAGAAGAATAATGAAATCGTCGATTTTTTTGTACTAGAACCTCAATAACAATGTCCTCCAGAATTCGGTCATAACAGCCAGTCGCAGTGAAGACAAGCCATCTGTGCAGGACTGGATTGTAGTGCACGAGTCACTATATTTCCTCACTTTCATAGTCCCGACACTTTCGGAGAGAGATGAGGCGCAGGATCAACGGCTTTCGGTACGTGCTTTTCGAGGCACTGAGTACATTTGAAACCTTAATTAATCATATCATCATAACAGACCGTGATATCCGCAGTTTAATGTGTGAAAGGAAACGTGACATTTTGTTTACAGAATTTCGAATCACAATTACTATTTGCTAAAGACAAGTATGGATAATAGCTTATGCGTATATTTACAACAGGCTTATCGTTTCTTGGAAACTTATCATGTGTTTATTTCTTGATGTCTGGCACGCGCTGTATTGGATGTCGCCTAATTATTAGGGTTGAAGGTAGGTACTATTTTTTTTAATATTGTTGATACTTATCCTCATCGTAATGTTTAGGGAAATAACAATATAACATGTTTTTTTTTTTTTAATATAAGAGGGGGCAAACGAGAAATTGACGCGCGCATGCGGCTCACTTGATGGTAAACGACTACTGCCGCCCATGAAAACTTGCAACCCCAGGGGGATTTTGCTTGCATAGAGAAGGAAATTGAAAGATATTATATGTAAAGATTAATGATAAAGCGACAGTCAATGATATTTATGTATAAAAAAAGGTAGATTGGTACGTTACTAGCACGTCAAAACTGAAGCGTCGGAAAGTGGTCAATTAGCCACTCCGGCCCTTTGCTAACAAATATGGCGCCATGATAACGTAAGCTTAGAGAAAAGGATAACTATAGACCACAAATGGTGCAATAAGAACACGAAGAGCGAGAGAGAATGTAGTGAAATGTGAGTAGTTTTTTTATTAGTGATCGATGGTAAAACATTAAAATCTGTATGTATGGTGTGTGCTGTCGCTAAGACGGCCGAGATCGGAACATGTTTTTCGGTGGTTTTGTGCGCATATGACATATCTATAAAAATATAATTGGCAACAGTAGCCAAATTAAAGCGCAATGCAAACTTCGAAAGTTGTCAGATCGAATTCGCCATTCGTCGACTGCCTGAACCACTCAACATAAGCACTTTGAACTCTATTCTTTGACTTACTTCTAGTAGTTGAACTGCTGATCATGAAGTCCAGGGACGGTCCAAAAGCAGTTACTGTGTTTTCTGTCAAGAAATTCTAAGTGGCAGCCTGAAGTTAGAAGTTGGTAGTGTCTAATCTAGCTTTGGTCGTGCCGGAAGGCCGTCCCATCGGACTACGAGAGTGAGGGAATATTCTATTATAGATGGAGTGCACTTGTGCTGGTGCACACACTTGCACTATGATCCTAAACTGCACAGATACCTAGTCAGTCGTCTTCGAGACTGAGGACATTAAACTCTCTAGGATTGGTTAACGAGTACATTAGTAATGTTAAACAGTGTTAATTCTCTCGCAAGCTAAATCCTACAAATGTATATGTTTGTCTCTTTTTAGTACAGCTTTTTCATCTGGTTTCAAATCACAACGATCCTAAACTAGTTTTCACTTAAAGTGTTGTAACCTCGACACTCTACTGAAAAATTGTTGTAGACGCTTGGGATTATGGGCGATGGCATTTACCTACGTCTAAAGCTCATGAAAAATATTCTTAGTGGTTATCAGCATGGTATCATAATTTTTTACAGTAATATTCCGTTATTTTAATATAACTCCGTTACTAGTTCGCCATAATAAATCATCTCATCACCGTGCATAAACAATCTTGTTTGACGACAGGCGCGTGCCTTGTATATAGGCATTCCATATTATATCAGTAAATATACGGACTGTCTCAAATAAAACTCAATTAAAGATTAATTGAAACAATTTGATAACAAACGGAGCAAAGTTTATGTACTTATGTTTGGGATATTGTTTTGGCAGTTATGTAGATGAACTATATTTTTTATTTGACCTTTTATTCCATTGTACACTTAATTTATTTATCATGTTAAATTACTGCGCGTCTTGAAAAAATATTGCCTATAATCGCGACGTCACACGAAGCGGTTTCGAGCAGTCGAGTCTGGTGTTATACGTAACATCACTAGTTACATCAGCGTTCAGCGCCTTGAGCTCCATCTTTCGTGATAAAGGTGTCTCTCAAATCTTTTGATAATAAACTCGCTTAAATACTCGCGCCGCATGCCGCATTCATCAGTTTGCCGCCATTGGCCGCCATTTGCTAAACGTGTGACAGTTTTAGGTTGCGCACTAAAACATTTCGTGAATTAAAACGAAATATCTTTCGGATCAGTTAAGCTGATACTATTCGCGTTGAGGTTCCCTAATAAAGTTTGCTGTTTAGCAACAACCAGGAGGTTGTTGCTTAGAAGTCAATAAAAGCTTTGAGAATTACGCTAATAAAGGTACATTTTGATTTATTTCTTTCTGTGATTGAAATAAATGTTGTATGTGTGACCAATGTTTGAACCAAGTAACTTATATGCTTTATTGTTCTGTTCATAGCTTTGATAATACAAAACATTTTACAACTAAAGGAAGGTAGTAATATTGTAAAATTATCACATTATCAGAAGCCATAGTTAATAAAATATATTTATAGTGTAGTCTAAATAAGAATATTTTTCATTCAGGCATGTTATCGTGTTTTATTTTAATTTCTTTTACAAACTGCGTGTGTAAAAAGATTCAGTGCAAAAAATTTTGGTATTTCACTAAAATAGCCGGACAGCTTATTAGCAAGTTCTACTAACGTAACATTGACCTTGCTCGTTCAACTCTCGTGCTGGCGCCATGTTACGTCATCAACCTCACAAAAAGCCGCAATTAGAATAGCTATGTATTGAAATAAATATTGGAACGAAGTTCTTATCGCACGGCACGAATTTGACGGATGGGTGCTAGGCGAGAAAAAAATGTAAGATTTTTCCGTCACGACCCCCTTTCTATAGTGCGAGCGAGATGAAATAATATCCATCTCCCTCGCACTTTTTCATATATTGCCATGAAAGAAACATTATTTTAAATGACGGTTCCTTTTAATAGACGCTAGTAATCCATTATTTATATTTGTTAATTAATAATATAATACGTTTATCAATAATAATATACTACGAAAGGAACTTCGTTCCAACCGAGTGTTCCACGATACTCAATACTACAATTGTTCTTGATAAAGTGTGCTGAAATTGATTAAAATATTTTGAGAATAATAATATAATCATTATTAAAGAACTCCCAGTAATGTAGAGAAAAATATTTTTTTTTTTCAAAAATTTCAAATCTTTTATTTAATCGTTGATATCGTTGATATGATCGTCTGTTAGTGATCGTGTAACTTCTGAACAATATTCGGGTCATATTCACACAATAGCTATATTTGTTTTGTAATGAGTCATTTTAATGTGTAATACTTATTTCTAAGTCAATATGACTCATTTTCATAGTGTCGTGTCATTGAAATTTACATTATAAAATAAAGTTACAGGCACAGGCCTCCTCCTCTCACTTCTGAGAGGGTTTAGGTTTAGGGCATAGAAATGCCTGCCGCGCCGCGCTACCTATTACCTATACCTATTGGCCTGTTGGCGAACTTCACATGTCTTTGAAAATTTTTTTTTTTACATTTCAAACATGCAGGTTTCCTCACGATGTTTTTCTTTACCGCCGAGAACCTGGTAAATCAGCACTTAAAATTGCAGTTAAAAATTTCATTAGTACCGGCGGGTATCGAACCCGGGTTGCTCGCATACTTTGAAACACTAAAGTCCGAAGTAAAACTCATAAACATCCTACCGGAAAAGGCAGAAATAATGTCTGCTAGGTCAATCAGCCCCGTACCTAATGAATAGCTCGCTAAATAACTAAACCCATTAGATATATAATATCTTTACCTTTTTTTTTTTAAATATAGTGTAAGAAATTATCCCACTTCTGATGTCTGAATTATTCTTAAAATTATTTAAAAAAAAGAACAACTACTCTGTAACAAACCCTGCTTACTATCAGTACCCAATTACATGATAACACCAAATTATGCAAACCAACAGCATCACTACCCATCTATAGAATTTCAACATGGCTGCCCTTTATGTTACCTGTAATTTGTACTAAGGAATTAAATAATATAACCTCTAATCATACACCGCATGTCAAACTGATCAAATTGAAGAGTAGTACTAATGGGCATGGTTTAAAATATAACGTGTGTCGATGTCAAGATTTCTAGTGTACTTGCATTAAATATTTTTAGTTTTTTTGTAAACATTGTTAAACCCTACAGATTCAACAAAACGAAATATTTGGAGCAGATAAAAAGTTTTTATATTACCTGTAATTTTTCAGTTTATTAAGTTTATTTATTCATTAAAGGTAACGTTTTTAGGAATTATTTTATAATTTTCAACTAATAGTCACATTCCTTTTTCTTCTTTGGAGAATTTTTTATGATTCACCTTCTCAATGTGGTAGAGCCATGCTGCAGCTATATTAATTGTATATTTGTAGCACGAATGGGTCGACTCGACCGGCGAAGGACCACGCTCTCACAGAATATCAGCTAAAAATAGCAGCTTAATGCTGCTTTGTTTCGTATGGTGAGTGTAGAGAACCGGAGACTCTTTTTACTGGAGGAGAGGCATTTCATCTTAGTCCTCACAGCTGACAACGCATCTGCATTTTGATTCCCAAACGAGGATTGATGTAGATGTCTATGGGCCACAGCAACCACTTACCATCAGGTGAACTGGTGCTCGATTGTCACCTTTATCCTATTAAAAAAATGACAAATAAATGCAAATATACAATTAAATATAGCAAATTTTTTAAATATGGAAATATAGTAGAATGTAGGAGGGGATTACCTACTTCACTGTATTTCAATGTCAGAGATAAAATTTATGTAACAATATTACTCATTTCTATGTGTAATACCACAGTAGATAATTTTAGGGAAGTGAGAGATGTGGTTATCAATCGTTTATCGAAATCTTATCTATAAAGATGGTCGAGCATACCACAGATCATACTTGGTACTTGTGTATTAGCTCGTAGTTATAAATTACATTTACGTCGCAGCGAAGAAGCAAAAGTTTTGCAGTGGCATTTTTCACTGCTTTTGAAATAAAAAAAAAATAGTTTTTTTTTTCTTTAACTTACATAGTTTGTTTATTCGGCCAGTTTCAAAACATTAAGACTAAGTGTATTTAATTTACAAGTAAAGTAATTCAGTAATACGATTAATTATCTTAGGTAAAGCAATTTTTGTCCTTATTTAATTCATTTATTTCTGTGTAATATCACTCATTTCTCTTTTTTCTTCTTTATCGGCTTCAACAGTTCACTGCTGGACACTAGCCATCTCGTTGCAGGGAGTATTTGCCTTTGTCGTCACGCTTTTCAGGTGGATTAACGACGTCTCGTACCTTTGAGACTGCTGCCAGGCGCCGCTCGGGTTATTTTGCATTTAACATAACTTGATGGAATGGAGGTGGAGGAATTAAGTAATTTAATTCCTACGCACACCCTTCAAAATGTATCCTGCAAAACACTGAAAGGCTGGCTACATTGTGCCTGTGCTTTCCGGTGCGTTCTATGAAAATTATGCGGGAGGTCTATGTTCAACGGTGGACTTTTATATACTGTAATGATTGGATATATTTAAACCTGTGCCGTATAATATGAGGTTGTTTTTGTTGTGCAGGGAGCACCGGCCGAGTCCGGCGCGTCTGGCTGTGCCGGGCGACCCGCGCCCCCGAGCCTCCGCCCGCCGCGCTGCTGGCGCCGCGCACTCAACGTCGACCCGCCCTGGCAGCGCGCACGGGCCCGCTGACGCCACACCACGCAACACACGTACGTTTTCATCTTTTTTTCTTTTTACACACTTAACTACAATCCCATGTGATGGTAAGAGGTGATGTAGCCTAAGATGACTTAACACTTAACCATAGCCTATTCACTCTTACCTTGAAGGCATCCACATCGTAATCGTATGGAAAGACAGATACTGGCAACTTATCTGGCAACTTATTTCACTCTTTTGCTGTACGCATGACGAAAGATGTAGCAAACCGTTTGGTTCGAATGCGCGTTATAAGTCGTCTCCGATGGTGAAGAGGGAGAAATTGAGTAATACAATTCCTGCGCACGTGAATACGTCCTTGAATTGGCTTTTATAGTGGATGGCAAAATTATTAAAGTAAACTAAATTGGGGGATCGAATTGTATCCAAAATTTAATTACACCAGGCGAGAGCTAAAGGACGAAGGAATTCGTTACGTTGAGTGAGGTATGTGATACATCGCGCACGGCGAAGGGAACGCCGCCATTTTGAGGTCGTTTCGTTACGTACATGTATTCTCGTAAAACACACACACAGATTTTTGTAGAGCCATTCTGCAGTTATATTATGGTTTTAGCACGAATTGAACGAACGGTTGTAGCTAATCCGGCTATAACGGAGCAGGACTATGCTCTTAAAAAATACTAATATTTACATTTTGATTCTCAATACGCCAATCGGGACAAAATGCTGTTGTCCAGGGATCACAACAACGACTAATCATCGGTACTATGCGCTCGTTTGTTATCTTTAATTACCGTTAGCATACCATTATAGCCTGTCAATAGTCCACAGTCCGTAGTTGCCTCGCTTGGCAAGCGGGTTGGCAATCGCAGTTTTTTTATTATTTAGAGTTGTTAACAGGAACATCTGCTGTCCATCTCCTGTTTCACTTTCTCATTGTTGCCTCTTCCGACACCCACGGAGCGGTATGAGGTAGTGAGTATTCTTACACCGCCACTACACGTTCAACACCTTTAATTGTATAATGAAAACGTCTATAATAAATACAAGATAATTGTTCCAGCTGACACTTGTGGACTAGCGCTAGTGGGCCCCCACCACCGGCCTCTGACACCTGACACCGCCTTTCCCCTTTCTCTGGACAGCCGTTCGCCTGCGCGCGCGCAGTATAGCCGCCCCACCGCGCCTCGGCGCCGCCGGGGCTACGGTACGTCGCGAGACCTAGCCACAGGGGGAGATCGCTTGCCTATCTATTGACAACTCTAAATATCACATCATAAAGCTCAAATTCATCCAGCATCGAGCAGAAGCAACATCTTAAGACCAGCAAAAGTCTGCAAAAGTCGTTTCAAGCAAAAGTTGACAAATATCGTTTCAAGGACACCGAAAGTAAACAAAATCCCGTGCGAAATGAAGGTAGTTGAAGAGGAACAGCGCATCCGTGTGATGGAGGGTCCGTGGACCACGGAGGGAGTTATAAGGGAGATTATAGAGGAGGGGACGCAGGAAGATCCCTTCTACTTGATGGACTTGGGCGAGGTGGTCGCTCGGTACCACCAATGGAAGGAATTGCTTCCTCGCGTCGAGCCGTTCTACGGTAAGTTTTTAAAAATTCGAAATATATACTGTAGCTCTGATGTCACTGCTAATAAAATTCATTTCAAAGAGACAACTTCACAGTGGAACGCAAAGAAGAAATAGTTGAGTCTATGATTATAGACTCAACTATTTCTTCGTTGCGTATATATTAATAGTATTTTAAAGAGCCTCGGTAGGTACTCGAGCAACCCAGCTTCGATTCCAGCCGGGACCAATAAACCCCTGCACGGCTAGCATGGGCTGGGGACAAAATTTTTATCCCCCTATTATATCCACTGACAAGAGATAAAATTATCTTGTCCCTACGAGTATGCCAAAGCACGACAACGGGGAGAAATATATCCCCGTTTGACATAACGAGTAGACATATATCCCCCGTCCGTAGTTTGGAGCCAAATGAAAGATAAAAAATTACTTTTTGACATTTATTATTATTTGAAAGGGACAATTCTATCCTAGTTCATTGGACGTGGATTTAAGTTTATATTCATACAAAAAATCTAAGTCCATCTCCCATTTTATCTACTGTGAATATTTTATCCACTGGTGTGTCCATACTCGAAGGGTGGATAAAAATAAGCGAGGGGATAAACATTTTCTCCTTTCCCCGGAGATAAAATTATCTCCTGCCCATGCTAGCCCTGCTGGGGGACAATTCTATAATGCCTCATTACTAGTAAAAAGTCATAATCAAAACTTTTTGTTTAAAATAATCGTCTAGATCTAAAGTTGGACATTATTTTCTTAATGGAGATCCCTACAGACCTTTTTTTTATAGGATAAGGGTGACAAACGAGCACACAGTCTTCCTGATGGTAAGTGGATGCTGTAGCCCATAGACATCTACATCTATCTTCGATTACGAATGAAAATGCAGATGCGTTGTCACCCATGAGGACTAAGATGGAATGCCTCGTTTCCAGCAAAAAGGGTCTCTGGTTCTGTACACTCACCATACGAAACACAGCAGCGTTAAGCTGTGAGAGCGTGGTCCTTCCTAGCCGTGCTACAACCATAATATAGCTGCAGCATGGCTCTACTACGTATAAAACCTTCATTAAACCCTCTGCTGAACATAAACCTCTCTCAAGGAATGCTACAAAACATGCCTAACCCACCTTCATCGATCGATTTCGTGTATGTGTGTACTAGGTCGTCACTCTATCTAGTGGAGGCCACCCTATTCTTCACTTACTGGTACACGGCAGTCACATGGAGGGATGTTCTCGAAAGAACAATGGCAGACTTTCATACATAAAATTAGTTGAGAAGGAATAGTAGCGTTTATATATCAAAAATATCTTAAAATGTTAAACGTCAGTCCCTTTAATAACTCTGTTAAAGAATTTTGTCTTGAGAAGGCGTTAAAATAAAGATATTTAGATTTGAATCTTTTTAGGTTGTCTTATGTCACTTGGAAAAAGTCATGCGTCCTGGGGTTGTTTGATGTTAGCTTATCTGAACATAATGTACCTACCTACACAATTGAGAGTTTTTAGATTATTGTATCTCTATTATTATATTTGCATACTATAAATGGCTGGCATGGCTCCAGGGCCTTTGTGTCATACAGTGACATTCTCAGAAGGGCTAGAACCCAGAGTCGTAAAGCCAGTAAAAAACCACAATGACATTTTGTTTTAGCTAGTGTTGCCATAACATTAAATGGAATTGTTACATACTACTATGATTGAGATAATGTATTACTGTAGGAAGTTCTTTGTAAGAGACTTATTTTCAACCATATCACATTTATTTTTATTATTACTGATAGTATAGTTATTACTAATAATAAATTGATATAAAAATATTTTGTGTTTGTGTCTTGTGTTAGTAGTCTTACAAAGTGTATACGAAAATAATATGAATATAGTAAATGGCAACACTTGAATAAAGTAAAATGATTTAAGTCATTGGATACTCCCAAAAATGTTTTTTTTTTCTGTGGCTTTAATTAAAATACATTTTTATTTGAAAAATCATAGAAAAATAATAAAACTCATTTTATATATAACTTATTTCTAGACGTAATAATTTTTGTCAACTATTTTTCTGCCATTGTTCTTTCACTACGTCATAGACTTTATAATGAGTATACAGGGTTATTTTACAAAGAGTAGCCATATTTTAAACTTAAGATATATAAATAATGATATATCGTTATTACAGTTTTTGAAAATACGAGCAAATAAGGCTTCTACTTTTATTTGAAATTATCCCAAAATGAATGTGATTTATGGGCAACAACGTTTTTGTCCACCAATCAACCCTTATGAATGTGTGCGTGCGCAGTAAAATCAGTCAAAATAATGCATTACCATACAATCTGAATTTAAAAGATAAAAAAGACAGAATATTTGAGATTTTTTTTAATTAATTTTTCATCACCATTTGCCTACGATACTTATTCTGAACATTCTCTGCAAATTTGGCCGATTATTGCAAAATAACCCTATATGTAAATCCGCAATAGAAACAAAGTAACCGACATAGCTCGACGAGTCAGTAAAGTAGTAACTGCGATTTATTGCAGCGGTGAAATGCAACGACGACAAGCTGCTGTTGAGTACGCTGGCGGCTTTGGGCACCGGCTTCGACTGCGCCTCTAAAGCGGAGATCGAGCTCATCACCGGACTTGGGGTGCGGCCAGAGTAAGTAGCTTTTTATGTAAAGTAGTTAAAAGTGGCTTTTTTCTGGTCTCCTAGATGATTGCGTTGTCTGCGACGATGAGCCATAATGTGTGGTATATATTATGAGGGTATAGTGCTTCTGTGTTAACACATGCTATGTCAGCAAGATATAATCCGTGATTAAATGGAAAATAGATTTAGCAAAACATGTTCTAAATAAAATATTTAGAACCTTGTTGCCTTTTTACGATCACTCATACAGGGTTATTTTTCAATGAGTATCGAAATTTTATATTTAAGTTCAAATAAAAATATAAATAATGATATACCGTTATGGCTGTTTTTGAAAATAAGAGTAAATAAGGTTTCTACTTTTATTTGAAATTTTCCCAAATTGAATGAGATTTATGGCCAACAACGTTTTTGCCTACCGATCGTGTGTGCGTACGCAGTAAAATCACATTTTGATATGATTTTACTGCTTTTTACTTTTTATTTTTTTATAATCAATTTTTCTTCACCATTTGCCTATATTGCTTATTCTGGACCTTCTCTGCAAATTTGGCCGGTTATTGCAAAATAACCCCGATATGATAGTATTACTCTTTATCAAACAGTGATGACTTAATAAAGATTTTAATCTTTTTAATAGATAGGTCCTGCATATTTTCTGGGACTTTGTTTTAACGTTATTTGGAAAAACACTGAATAATAATTGTTTGTTCCGTTACTAGCCGCTTCGATTACATAGAGGTCGCTAGTGTATCAGAAGCGACGAGCGAATATAATCCGCCTTAATCTTTACTGCAAGCTTATGGCTCCCTCGTTTATTAGGACCTAATGTGTACCTACTGAAAGTATACGTTTCTGCGCAGGCGCATAATATTCGCGAACCCGGCCAAATTGGCGTCCCACATCCGCTACGCGTCGACCGTCGGAGTTGACTTGATGACCTTCGACTCTGAGACCGAGCTCGTGAAGATCAAGCAGGCCATGCCGCATGCCCAGTAAGTTTATCGAAATTTTATAAATAACCATAAAAATATTGTCCAACAAATTTATTTCATATAGCGCTTGCCGTACATTTCACACCGATGCCGATTAATGAAAATGTTACAATTTGAAGTGCTGATTCACGGCGTGCTCGGTTATGAAGAAAAAAATCGTGAAACTGGCATGTCAGAGAATTAAAAATATTTGAAAGAAAAGGTGAAGACCGCTGGAGATGTATAAAGGCTGTAACATAAACTTTTTCAACTTTAAAACTTTTTTAATAAATTTCAGCATATTTAATGCTCGACTGTATACAAATCTGGAAACCAACGGGAGTATGAAAGTATTTGCATATGACTTACGACTACAAATTGACAAGCAGTTTACCTGGTAGAGCCATGCTGCAGCTATAAAGTGGTATAGTTGTAGCACGTATACAACTCGACGATACGACTCGACCGGGGAAGGACCACGCTCTCACAAAATACTAGCGTAAAATGGCAGCTTAATGCTACTGTGTTTCGTGTGTTGAGTGTAGAGAACCAGAACCAGAGACCCTTTTTACTGGAGCGAGGCATTCCATCTTAGTCCCCACGGGTGACAACGCATTTGAATTTTGATTCGGGAACGAAGAAGATAGATGTATATGTCTATGGGCCACAGCAACCACTTACCATCATGTGGACCGTGTGCTCGTTTGTCACCCTTATTCTATAAAAAGAAGCAGTCGCGGTGGAAGAGTATTAACTACCAATATCGTCCTGTGAGTATCTGTAAACGGCGATAGTGGTAAGCAAGTCAGAAGGTAGTTAGGCAGCAGCGTCCTCCCAATAACAACTAAAAATATAAAAAACTGCGGTTGCCAACTCGCCTGCCAAGCGTGGCAACTGTAGCAAATATGCTCTTATGTGGCTATTAGTGAAGGGCCTATGTTCAGCAGTGGACTTTTCATGGGCTGTAAACGTTATACACAATTTTGACAACACTGCAATGTGCCAATGGATTTGACTCATGTCAAAAACTAAATCGCCCTGTGGCCTAAGATACCTAACATCTATTCTCGCTTAAGAATCAAATATAGGTGCGTTGTTATAACCAACGGGGGCTAAAAAGGGTCTCCGGTTCTCTACATTCAGTATTCTGCGAGAGCGTGGTCCTTCTTCTATCAAGCCGACGCATTCGTGTTGCAACCATAATATAGCTACAGCGTCGCTCTATCACGTTAGAAGGTTATATAAAGTTAACAGTAATCGTTTAGATGTAGTATGTACAATAAGCTTTATTTTGCGAAATGGCATTAAATGTTGTTAAGTTTGACATTAGGTGTTTGTCAAGTGTCTTTATTGGTCCAAGACCTCTCACTAAAGACAGGGGTTTAGGGCTGTAGAGGCTCGGACGCGCTTTCCTAATGGCGGAATTCGTAAATCCGGAAAATAATTTTCTTTTTTAAATTCTCGGACGCACAAGTTTTCTTACAATGTTTTCCTTCACCGCCATGTACGGGGCAAAATTGCACTTAATATTCTTTAGCTTAAAATGAAACTAATATATTTTAATTTTTAATTGCGTTTCAATTTTAAAAAGTTTATTTTCAATTCCCGATATTTTGGATCCTTTACAGCTCTATGGTTGACGGTTGTCAAACCGTCAACCATAGAGCGTCAATCTTGATGACAGTGGCGAAACTAGGGCTCCAAACTAGGGCAAGCCCAAGATATGGTTTTATTGTTTTTAGCAATTTTTTTAAAAATACACCAATCTTGATCTATCTCCCCTCTTCAGTTTCATATTCAGTGCTGTCGGGGACGTCTTTAACAAAGCACACAGAAGGCATACTACTGCTAGATAGGTTTCCTTCGGTGGGTTTGAAAACAGCCGTTTAGATTTGCTTGAGCGAAAGAAAAAGATATTTACATACAGTACACGAACAAAAGAAAAGCATGAACAAAGTACAAACTATGTACAAAATTAAAAAAATAAATTATTGATATTCTAAATCGAATCGTCACTCTTTCTTAAGGAAAGATTTGATTACGTCCGCGCAAAATGTTGGTGAACGTTTTAATTGTACTAATAACTGTTTTTCAATTGCGGTAATTGATAAGTCTCAAAGACGAAGGTTTTACTCCTTTGAGAAATACACAGATCAGACGTTGGTTTCGGCGTGGATGTGAGCTGTTTTTTCTCAACTAACTTTAAAGATTTTACCTTTTCCTCGCCGATTAGCACTTTAACACACTTCAATTCATTACAAGGAACACTATTATCCTCCATTTTCAGTAAAAATCTTTAAAAAAGCATAAACTTTTCAACTCGCAATATTTATTCGCTCAAATAAACACACAGAGTAAACATTAAAATGTGATGTGAACTTGCAAACGTATCGCCCGCGCGCCACCGTGCTCGACTAACTTCATACCGAAAGTCCAGGTTATCGCTCCATACTAATTGCTATATAAGCAATCGTAGTTATATTTCATTATAGAACATTTTGCCACAGGTTAGAAAGGGAGCGATCGTCTTCTCGAAAGCCCGGTAAAAAGCCCACACGTGTGAGAGACGACTAATTGCTCAACTCAACTCTTTTTTATGACAGCAGTATCGCGCAGTTTTGCCGCGACCGGGGTCCATTCATATTGCTTTGCTTTCATTAATTTTGACAGTCCATTGCGAGTTCGCTTTGGGACAGAGAGAACACAAATCAGTGTATTTCGAATTGAAAGCAATCTTCCTACCTGTGTAGAACAGAGGAGCGCACGGGAAATTTGAAATAGTTTGAAACAATTTACGAGCTATTTTATTAGTTGATATTATTGATTGAGCAGTTTGCAAATGGCAAGCCTGGCTTCTCGTCTTCTATGGAGGCTTCGCTACCGCTTGATGACTTTCTTTGCTATCGGCGAGAATTGATTTGTCTTAAGTTTATAAGGTTATTTGTTTAATCATTTCCTTTTATTATTTTAATATATTCATCCCAGTTTGCATATTTTTGTGTGCGTCATTACTGTAAGTTTAAATAATAAAATTAAATTAATAAATAAGTAAATTAATAAATTCCATTTTATCTCGTACTATAAAATTTAATTCAGCCTCTTATTGCCTAACTCGACATGGTGAAATAACTGTGCTATATTTTGAATTTGAGGTATAGCAATATAATATGTTGTTTTTTTTTTCTATACTAAAAGAAAGGCAAATGAAGTAAGGTGACATTGTGACAGGCTGGTGATCCGCATCCGCTGCGACGCGACATCCGCGCAGTGCCCGCTCGGCATCAAGTTCGGCTGCGACCCGCTCACCGAGGCGCCGCGCCTCCTCAAGCTGGCTGCCGTCCACGGCCTCCAGGTCTCTATATTTTATACTTTACTTTTATTTTAAATTAAAAAAGTTTCCACGCGTTTTTGACATGTTTTTAATACTATTCGTACTATTTGAAGTTAAAAAAAAAAACTTATTAAATATTTGTCTGATTTTCATAATCCGCTAACTTGAATTTCAAAAGGATTATATCAAGCATACCAATTATATGTAATCTATCAACTTTAGGAATGATTATGTGGAGTTTTGGCGGGAACTTGAACGGCGGCGGTTTGCTGCTCCTGTATTATTGTTTAAATAATGGTTTGAAGTGGATTTTGATATGTAAAAGTGGTGCGATTTTGTGTATTAAGTGTCTGCGAACTATTAGTGGAAACGGTGAAGCAAATGCTCTGAAGGTGATGTGATTCTCAAAATAAGGTGACTGTCTCTTTAGGCGCCTTGAGATACCATCACCAACTGTCAGCTGTTTGCTGGCTCAAGTTGCCGTCAAAATCTCCCAAGGGTTGCACAATGTGACGCATCAACATTGTGAAGCAGTGTATTATGAAGGATAATTATACATTGTAACTTCAGGCTCAGAAGGGCTAGAACCCAGAGCCGTAAAGCCAGTTATAAAACAAAATGATTATGTCGTGTACTATTATGTATATTAATATGTACATGCCAATGTGGGACTCCAACAGTAAATGCGGCGCGTACGGCGCGTATAGTGCTGACTAATGTGCATTCAGCTTTAGTTGTGTGTTAAGGCGCGTCGGTCGTGTTGCAGGTGGTGGGCGTGTCGTTCCACGTGGGGTCGGGCGCGCGCGAGACGGGCGTGTACGCGCGCGCCATCCAGCTGGCGCGCGCGCTGTTCGGGCTGGGCGCGGCGGCCGGACACCGCATGCGCCTGCTCGACCTCGGCGGCGGCTTCCCCGGACACGCCGGCTCCTGCATCCGCGAGGTACGTCACGTCACGTCACCGCCACCAGCCGGCGCGCGCGCTGTTCGGGCTGGGCGCGGCGGCCGGACACCGCATGCGCCTGCTCGACCTCGGCGGCGGCTTCCCCGGACACGCCGGCTCCTGCATCCGCGAGGTACGTCACGTCACGTCACCGCCACCAGCCGGCGCGCGCGCTGTTCGGGCTGGGCGCGGCGGCCGGACACCGCATGCGCCTGCTCGACCTCGGCGGCGGCTTCCCCGGACACGCCGGCTCCTGCATCCGCGAGGTACGTCACGTCACGTCACCGCCACCAGCCGGCGCGCGCGCTGTTCGGGCTGGGCGCGGCGGCCGGACACCGCATGCGCCTGCTCGACCTCGGCGGCGGCTTCCCCGGACACGCCGGCTCCTGCATCCGCGAGGTACGTCACGTCACGTCACCGCCACCAGCCGGCGCGCGCGCTGTTCGGGCTGGGCGCGGCGGCCGGACACCGCATGCGCCTGCTCGACCTCGGCGGCGGCTTCCCCGGACACGCCGGCTCCTGCATCCGCGAGGTACGTCACGTCACGTCACCGCCACCAGCCGGCGCGCGCGCTGTTCGGGCTGGGCGCGGCGGCCGGACACCGCATGCGCCTGCTCGACCTCGGCGGCGGCTTCCCCGGACACGCCGGCTCCTGCATCCGCGAGGTACGTCACGTCACGTCACCGCCACCAGCCGGCGCGCGCGCTGTTCGGGCTGGGCGCGGCGGCCGGACACCGCATGCGCCTGCTCGACCTCGGCGGCGGCTTCCCCGGACACGCCGGCTCCTGCATCCGCGAGGTACGTCACGTCACGTCACCGCCACCAGCCGGCGCGCGCGCTGTTCGGGCTGGGCGCGGCGGCCGGACACCGCATGCGCCTGCTCGACCTCGGCGGCGGCTTCCCCGGACACGCCGGCTCCTGCATCCGCGAGGTACGTCACGTCACGTCACCGCCACCAGCCGGCGCGCGCGCTGTTCGGGCTGGGCGCGGCGGCCGGACACCGCATGCGCCTGCTCGACCTCGGCGGCGGCTTCCCCGGACACGCCGGCTCCTGCATCCGCGAGGTACGTCACGTCACGTCACCGCCACCAGCCGGCGCGCGCGCTGTTCGGGCTGGGCGCGGCGGCCGGACACCGCATGCGCCTGCTCGACCTCGGCGGCGGCTTCCCCGGACACGCCGGCTCCTGCATCCGCGAGGTACGTCACGTCACGTCACCGCCACCAGCCGGCGCGCGCGCTGTTCGGGCTGGGCGCGGCGGCCGGACACCGCATGCGCCTGCTCGACCTCGGCGGCGGCTTCCCCGGACACGCCGGCTCCTGCATCCGCGAGGTACGTCACGTCACGTCACCGCCACCAGCCGGCGCGCGCGCTGTTCGGGCTGGGCGCGGCGGCCGGACACCGCATGCGCCTGCTCGACCTCGGCGGCGGCTTCCCCGGACACGCCGGCTCCTGCATCCGCGAGGTACGTCACGTCACGTCACCGCCACCAGCCGGCGCGCGCGCTGTTCGGGCTGGGCGCGGCGGCCGGACACCGCATGCGCCTGCTCGACCTCGGCGGCGGCTTCCCCGGACACGCCGGCTCCTGCATCCGCGAGGTACGTCACGTCACGTCACCGCCACCAGCCGGCGCGCGCGCTGTTCGGGCTGGGCGCGGCGGCCGGACACCGCATGCGCCTGCTCGACCTCGGCGGCGGCTTCCCCGGACACGCCGGCTCCTGCATCCGCGAGGTACGTCACGTCACGTCACCGCCACCAGCCGGCGCGCGCGCTGTTCGGGCTGGGCGCGGCGGCCGGACACCGCATGCGCCTGCTCGACCTCGGCGGCGGCTTCCCCGGACACGCCGGCTCCTGCATCCGCGAGGTACGTCACGTCACGTCACCGCCACCAGCCGGCGCGCGCGCTGTTCGGGCTGGGCGCGGCGGCCGGACACCGCATGCGCCTGCTCGACCTCGGCGGCGGCTTCCCCGGACACGCCGGCTCCTGCATCCGCGAGGTACCGCGCCTTTATACTTTACGTGACGCCACGTCGCGTCAGCGCCATACAGCCGAGCCCTTCACAACGATGGCGGTGACGTCACAGCGATACTCTCGCTTGCACGGCTGCTCAGGCACGCCGTCTCTTGCATCCACGAGGTGCGTACGCGTCTTAATATCGTCACCTTTAAGCCATAATTTTGTACACCAATTTTTTTTAATATAACAAAAATAACTAACTGAAATTACAGTTCACCTGATTATGAGTGGCTACTGCAGTCCATGGATACATACAACTAACTTGAAACAAGAAACCTACAAATTCGTTGGTACCTCCGAAGACTTAGATGGAATTCTTCACAGCCTGCAATTGGCTTGCACTGGCTGGCACTTCGGAACGGAAAACAGCAGTACATGTATTGTTCATTCAATAAATACTATATCTACATAACGCTAAGATGTTTTACCACCACTTTAAGCCGTTGTGTGCCCGGCAGGTGGCGCAAGTTATCAACGCATCTTTGGACGCGAACTTCTCCGGCTGCGAGGTGCGCGTCATCGCGGAGCCGGGCCGCTACTTCGCTGCAGCCGCCTACACGCTCGCCGCCATGATACACGCCAAACGGGAGGTACGATATTTTAACACCCAGACCCGGAACAATTATTTGTGGGTCATACAAATACTTGTTCCGTACGGGATTCAAACGTGTGGCCCTCAGCGCTGCAACTCCATGCTATGCCACTGCGCCACGAAGCCTTCAATAGCACTAAATATATAAAAACCATAGTACTAACTATATAAAAGTATAACTGATATAAAAGTCTTATATAATTTATAGATATTTTAACAACAGGCAGAAGCCGGCATATAAACCGCAGGACTATACTCTAACCAGTTCAATTGCGGCAGATCAAAATCAACATGAAAATTAATTTTATTTCTATGTTGACAGAAGTAATTTCATTTTGAGCTTAACAATGATAATACTTTTTTGATGTTGAGTGGATGCTGCGGCCCATAGACATCTACAGTCGATCCTCAATTAATAATCAAAATGCAAATGCGTTGTCACCCCTGAGGACTACGGTGTAATGTATAGTTTCCAGTAAAAAGGGTCTCCAGCTCTCCACACTCACTATACGAAACACAGCATCATTAAACTGCCATTTTACACTGATATTCTGTGAGAATGTGTTCCTTCTTTGGTCAAGCGAACCCATTCATGCTACAATCATAATATACCTGCAGCTAAAAGAATCTGCTAAAACGTATTTTATACTTCCTCAAAATATATTTTATATCTATGACTTGGAAGTTTCCCCACTATTTTTTTTCACCGTCGAACATAAATGAGATGTTCCAAAATGTATGAAGCCTGGGCCAGGTCCTTGTGCACTATAGTTTGGGAATTCCCGACAATTTTAAAGTCCCGGCACACGGGACAGCCTGTAATCTAAGTCCCGGGAATTCCCGGGACTTCAAGAGATTTAAGAAAAAACTTTTTTGTTTTTTTTTTAAGATGGGTAAGCCTTTTTGGAAGAATTTTAATTGAGTTAAATCTTATAGTTATGAAACGAACTTAGTTAAAATCATACTAATTCTTAATAACTTTACTATTATCTAGTAATTCTAGCATCTAATTATTGTTCATAATCTCATTGTTAATTCTCATAATCACATATTTGCTTAATTTATTGTGTTGCGTACTCAGTAGTTACGTAATAGACCATGTAATTATTCATTAAACTAACACATTGCGCTAGGCTCCTTCAATTATTTGAAAATAAAAATGATTACATAACAATTTCGACAATCTTGTCTCGTCTCGAGTCTCGACCCGAAAGTCCCGGGACTCGAGACAATTAAAATTACGAAAAATTAGCCAAACCCTATTGTACACTATACTCAAAAATAGGGAAACACATTTTAAACAGTTCTCAACTGTCCAATTATTTTATAACGGCTGATTGCTGGTAAAGCACAAGAAATTACACTTGAAATTGCAACCCACAACAAAAACCCGTCATGGCGGTAAGCTGTCATTTTTAATTATATGTGACGTTTGACATGTTTATTTCTGGGGAGGTTGAAGGTTCGAAGTTTCAGTCACTGAAAAGTGACACTGTTATGACAACTGACAGTTCTCTTTCTATGGTCAATGGTCGCTTTATGGTTTACCACAAATTAATAATAAGTGCTAGTGCATGGTTTACTGTCGTTGTATATAACCACAGAGTAACTAAATCGCAGAGTCAATAAGTCGATAAAAATAATTGATAAACATCAATGGCTTACCACGACAGGATACATTTAAATGAATTATTTTTTCTGAATTCTACAGAGTTTTCTCTTTTTTGAGGTAGTGTACATAGACCTGGCTGATTTTGAAACATTTAATTTTACACCTACATTCTCGAACCAACAAAGAAAGGTAGACAGAGATCTGCGTACATATGTTGAATGGTTAACAATTTATTATTATATGCAATACACACACACTGTTGTTTTCTACTCAGACGGATTTCTAGGTAGAAAAGTAGGCCTGCCAGCTAGGGCTGCTCGGGTATTGACATTTACGAGCACTTAGCCCCTCTGCTACCACGACTAAAATGCAACTTAAGATTATTTTCATGGCACTACAGATACCCACACAGAACGAGGAGGACGGGGACGGGTTGCACACGATGTACTTCATCAACGACGGCGTGTACGGCTCCTTCAACTGTCTGCTATATGATCATCAGACGGTTGTGCCCATACCACTCCAGGTGAAAACACTTTACCATTTTAACCCACTTTATCAATTAATATTGAAAACAAACAACCCAACTACAGTCATTTAGTTTTAAACTTTTAACAAATAAGATGAGGTGTTCATCAAGAAAACATTTCAAACGCCTATGACTGTGACATTCTGAAGATAAAGAATCAAACCACATTGCGCACTTCCAAAATTGTCAAGCCGTTTAGGCTAAACGAGGTCATAATTGAGCAGATCATAGAATCATACATTGCCTAAAAATATAATATAATAATAGCGTGATATTTAGAGCCGACGCGGTCATTGAGTCAGTATTAAATCTATGTAAATAAAATGATACAGGTTCGCAGTTGTGCGCGCATTACGGAATAACTACTGGATAGATTTCAATTAGGTTTTCTAAGTTTTATTTCTTAGACATTTAATATAAAGTTTCCTTTAATATAAGTTATTAAAGTTTGAAGAAACAACGATTTTGTAAGCAAAGTATATTTTTGCTTGCGATCTTTTTGATGTTTGTTTCTTCGCAAATACGAAAACTTTATTAATATATCAAGCAGCGCGGGCGATGTCGCGGGTATCAGCTAGTAATGAAATAAAATCAAGTCATATTCAGTATTAAACGTCGTGTTGTTTTCTTCTTAAAAGCTTTTGTTCTCGTTCACTCTGGCACAACTATTGACTACTGTTGACTTTTTTGCATGCATACCTGTTTTTTTTTTCTTTTCTCTTTCTAATTACATGCAGCCAGATATCTAAGATACTATCTCATTTCACAGTCGGAAGAAGGCGCCTCTCGCATGTCTTCACTGTGGGGTCCAACTTGCGACGGACTCGACTGCGTAGTTCCACGTATCCGTCTTCCGCCTCAGCCGATAGGAGGTTGGCTCATTTTCCGAGACATGGGCGCCTACACACTGCCGGTCGCATCGCCCTTCAACGGATTCCCCTTACCGAAGGTCCGTGCTGTGGTGGATAGGCGTCTGTGGTCCGTTCTGAAGGAGCTCTGGCCGCTGACGGAAGACCATTTTGTAGTGGGAGAGCGTGTAACTGGGCCTCAAACTCCTCCACCATCGCCCTTGGCATCATCTCCAACAGAGTCATTACACCGCACTGTATTCGTGGAATGTGCATTGAAGTGATTGAGTATTGGGAAGAGATTGCCATACTCATGTCTGTTGTGTAGTTCTGGCCTATTTATAATCAGTAACCTTTTATAATGTTGTGAATTTCTTAATAATATCATAATATTTACTAAATGTCAATGAATTGGAATTGTAAAAACTTAATGTTTGCTATTAAAACTTCCATTTTGAAAATTCGAATATTATTAATATAAATTTCATCTCTTAAAACTTGTGTAATTAATGCAATTTATAACAGACAGACAATCTCTAATAACAATAAAATAATGGCAGTTCCAAAATAAACAAACAAGTGTCCACATTATATTCTACTGATTGATATTAACTTATGAAACATCCTAATGCATTTCTATAATCAATCAATTCAATTTCTCACAACTGGATTAAAGTAAACACATTCAGTAACCATGTCAATAAATAATAGTCTCAAACTTTAATATCTTAAATGTGAATTTTAAATGTGTCTTAACTTAATGTGTGCCCGTTATTGTAAGTCTCGGTGAAATAATAAAACCGCCTGTTGTTACCATCTCAGAAATGGCTTCTCAAAGAGTATAAACATTAAACTAAAATATTTTAATCAATATGTAACTTACATAATCAATGTATTGTAAAAATGTGTCTTCTTCATTTGAATTTTTGTCTTGATGCGATTTTGACCATCAATTATTCACTGCCTATGTTTATTTACTTGCGTACTGATTTTAATTAACACACAAGTATAATTTGTTTCACTAGTTCTTTTTTTAAAAGTATTTATATTTTAGAATTGTACTTTAATAAATATTGTAATTTTTTTTCTTGTTTTTATCGTCGTGTGTAGATTTGTCATGTAATTGGAACCACTTAAACCATATTTTTTTCATCGTAACTTTTTTAGCGGTAGAGAACATTCCCATTACGAATAAGTAAAACTAATTATCTTCTACGGATGATGCTTTATAAAATTGTAAAGATTTCCTTTTTTTTTTTCAATTTAAATTTAACTTGATGTTTTTGTCATTAGATGGGTTTCGCAAATGGTATTATAGCGAAAAGCTTTTTTGAAATACAATGCTGCAATAAGTTCGTTGTTTTATTACCCTTTAGTTCTTTGATTATTTAATTGCTTTCCGATTCGTTGCGGCACCGATTTTAGACAACTTTTAGCTGTGGCGGCAAACAAATATTTCATGACACGTCTGAAGTGGCAAGCGCCATCAGCCATGTGTAAAAATAATTTTCTTTTTTTATGCTTTTTTCACTTGTTTAGACCTAATTAAGTTTAGTTGACATCAAACATCAGTTACAAACGGAAGGATACTTGGTTTTAGTGGGTAACTACGTGTTTTTCTACGTGTTTCTTTGAAATTGAGAGTTAAGGTATAATTCCGTAGCCGACCGCAGACAGCAACAGCAGGCGACACGACGCTGCGGTCATGATTCCGAACCCGACTGCAAGCGGCAGCAGCACGTGTTCCAATCTGTTGCGAAAGTTCTGTGGGTACTCTATTTATGTAAACAAAATAGGTACTATATATAAATATATGTATATATATATATATATACCTATTTATCGCTTTATTAACTCCTTTCCTATATTTTTTCAAAAATTGTCTTTTGTCACACTGTTTAAATAATTATTGTGAGATGCATCGTACAGTGCGGGATATTGGGCCACCTGGTTTATCAGTTTCTCTTCCACGGAATCGGTGAAACTAATTTTTTTGAGAAAAATTCAACGTGTCGCTCAGGCGTTGGCGACACTACTGATCTGCGGTCGGGCGACATGTCGTCTGCCGCTCCGGCAAACGACGTGTCGCCATCTACGGAAGGTATTTCATAGAACTACATAGAAACCAGTCGTGTCGCGACGACACACCGCCTGCTGCTGCTGTCTGCGGTCGGCTACGGAATGGTACCTTAAGTGACTTTTTTTATGCAGAGCTTACTACAAACCTTTTGTACTATTTTTTTGTTTAATAAAAAAATCATTTATATAAGTAGGTACAGCTAAATCACCCTGGAAAACCTTGGTTTTTTTTATTAAATTAAATATTCACCTAATAATAATATTTGTAAATACCAAACAATCAAGAACCTTAATTTGGAAAAAATAAAGTTTATGATTCATTGATATTTACGAATGTTAAATATTATTTAATGTTATACAAATCTAAAAGTAAAGTCGATCTGAAAACGTCTAATTAGTAAGAATAGCAAAACAAGTGTTTTCAAAAGGAAAAAAACGCTCCGCTATACGGCGGCGGATTGACAAAAGACTATTTATTAGCGAACTTTTTTATGCATGGACGGTTTCTATATGTTTCAAGCAAAAATAAACCTTATACCATATCACAAGAGCACATGGTACTTCGTAGGTCTAGTCGGCCATATGATAGTAATAAGACGGCAGTTCAACCATTTGAAGCAAAATTAAACAATAAAACAAACGCTTTTTTTTTAACAGGAGATTTGTTTACCAGAAATTTATTTACAACTTGAGTTTGTGAGCGATCGCAATGAGTGCTATTATTTGTTACTTATTAGATTATTTTTCCACAACATGATTTAAAACCTACAAAGTAAAAAGAGTACCATGTACAAGTTAAAAAAAGGTTGTCAGCCCCTAAAAATTTCAAAATTTTAAAATAACCAGATACGAAGCTGTAGGCATGAACTACTTGCAAAATAATTAATATTTTGTTCTGGATAAATCTTCCAAAAACGCAATTTGAGCGAGTTATAACGATTTTTAAAAAGACACGACTCGCTTGTCATACGCCACACAAAAATAACCAATGGCACGCCTGGCGTGCCATTCGCACTGAACCGGTTAAACATTAGAATAACATGGGTCGGCTCGACCGGGGAAGGAAGGCTCCCACAGTATACCAACGTAAAATGACAGCTTAACACTGCTGTATTTCGTATGGTGAGTGTAGAGATCCGAAGACCCTTTTTACTGGAAAAGATGCATTCCATCTTAGCCCTCACGGGTGACAACGCATCTGCATTTTGATTCACAAACGAGGATAGGTGTAGATGTCTATGGGCCACAGCAACCACTAACCATCAGGTGGACTGTGTGCTCGTTTGTCACCCTATCCCATAGATTACCTCCTAATAGATTCCGCATACAGGGCCACAAACGCGCGCAACACATACTTGCTGTAGCTAGCATACGAAGTGAAGCTAAGAATCACGACATCAGTATCGACCAAGTTTGTGATCCGTAGGCACGTCCGAGTTCTTGATAATTTAAAAATAGTTTTGTATCTAAAATACATTACAAATGGCTTCCTGTGCAGTAAAATGGTGTGACAAGTCAGCTAAGACATCCAGTTATCAAAAAGATGGCATAAATTTTAATTGGTAAGTAAATTCTATTCTTATCACGTTAACCTATTTCAAATGCACCGGAGATCAACTTATACTGGTATATTAATGGTGCAAAGTGATAACATTTAAGCACCCGTTGATGTCTTTTTGAAATGTCCCTTTCACTCGTTACGTAAATTACAATAGTTGTCTTTGTCTAACAACAGCACGTGTATCGATAGTGTTGTGATTTTTAAGTCGATATTTGTTTAGTCATCGTTTAATTATTTTTATCGAAGTCATATTATTTTATAAAAATAGTGACGTATCATTGTGGTACCTATATGTTATAGGTTTCCTAAATGCCCCGAAAGGAAAAAAGATGTGGATCGACGCAAATTGTCGAGGGGACGAATGGTTTCCCACCTTTCTTCATAATATTATGAAAAACCGTATAAAGCTGTTGGATTCTTGCCAGTTTTGGTATGGACTTTTGCATTTTTTTTAAAGATTAGTACTAACGTAAATTACACAATAATATCATTAAGTGGTTGAGTGAAACATTATATTCTTATATTTAGGTAAATGTTACACGTTGAAATCAAGCTATTTTGAACGGATTTATAAATCATAAAACTTGTAAAAGTTATAATGTGATTATTGTTTTGACTTGGTATTTAGTGTTACATGAACATCAGTATTATCTTATTATAATTACTAAGTACATCTAAATTTGGAAGACGTGCCGTATGGTGTATTAATTAATAATACTATATCGGTAATGTTTTAAAAGAAACGAATATGTATTTCTGATTTAGATTACTGGTTCACCGCTGAAAGACGCGAAAAACCCGCCAACACCCAAAAATCAGAGTCATTGCTTAGAAACGCCTACAAAACAAAAAATAATTTTTTTTCCTATACCTGATTCGCCATCTGCATCTAATACTCCAGTTAAAAACGTCTTTGTAGAAGAATCATCGAATTAACAAACGTAATGAACAAAAAAGATAAAAAAGTTAAAAAGTTAAGTGATTCCAACAGAAGACTAAAAACACAAATAGTTTCTTTGAAGTCACTATTGGTAGAATTAGAAAACAAAAATTCATTAGCAGCGGAAAACAATGACGCATTAAGTTCCTTAGAAAAATCAAAATCAAGAAAATCAGGCAAAATTGTTAGAAAAAAATATTCACCACAATTGAGAGCTTTTACACTCACCATAAATTACTCAGCTAGGCTTATAATTATGTACGCAAAACATTTAATACTTCTTTACCTTGTGTAAAATCACTAGGAAAGTTTGTAGTTTTAACACAATTAAGCTTAATTGTTATAAATAATAATAATAATAAAATAATATATATAATAATAAAAATAATAAATATAAATAAATAAGCATAATTAAACAAATAAATAAGCAGTTTTGTTAATGAGTATATTTTTCATGATATAAAAAAATCACCAATTCGATCACGAAAGTTGTAATCATGTCATTGATTTAGCTAAGAGTGTTATGGAAAAATACATAGACATACTCGTAAGATTACTCTACTCATCCAGGAAGACAGATCCTAAGAATTCTGTGAGACAATTTTATACTAAGATTATTCATTTTAAAAATCAGTCAAATATATATTTATAAATTAAATGTACAAATAATTAATAAATGAATAATTTTTTAATAAACATCAAATAAAAATTGATCAATATATTTATTTATCATTATCAATAATCAATAAATCCCAAATTTATCGATCAACGTCCCAACCCTGTTCCATCACTATGGTTTGGTACATTCTAAGTTTGACCTTTAAATATCCAATCACAGCACATTAGCCACGTCCCCCGCAACCCTTGCATAGGTCCAAATTTGGTGAACTCGAAACAGAACAAATATTCAATGATGCGGTATCTATTAGGAGGTAATCTGTGCCCTATCCTATAAAAAAAATATAACGTGACTTTATACGAGTATATGCATTTTAGATTTAGTATTAGGTTTTATTTCAGTAGTCGATTTTTTTATTACCTTCCTTACCTAAGTTGAAATATAAGAATTTCACCTAACCTAGGCGATCAGTCAGTATACCGTATTGATTGATGTGCAACGTCCATGACAGCGAAATCCGACAGTATGAACGGGACATATTAAGCAAAAATACCGATACGAGTACAAAAATAAACATAAATCAAGATATTTATCTTTGTACTGACTAATTTAGATACCATTAAACAAATACAGCAATTATTAATAGAATATTTTTCTAGAAATAATTGTGTGTATTTTATTTTATTCTGATTTCTGACCTAGAGATTTACCCCATACTCTTTTTTTTTATAGAAGAGGGGCAAACGAGCATGCGGCTCACCTGATGGTAAGTGACTACCGCCGCCCATGAACAACTGCAACACCAGGGGAATTGCAGATGCGTTGCCGGCCTTTTAGAAAGGTGTAAGCTCTTTTCTTGAAGGTTCCTAAGTCGTATCGGTCCGGAAAATTCGCTGGTGGTAATTGATTCCACAAGGAAGTTGTGCGAGGGAGAAAACTTTTTCTAAATCGCACAGTGCTGGACCGCCAATCATCCAGATGGTATGGATGGTAACGCAAGTTTTGTCGCGATGTGCGATGGTGAAATTGAGCGGCTGGAATTAGTCCGAATAATTCCTCAGAGCACTCCCCGTGATAGATGCGATAAAATACGCAAAGAGATGCCACATCTCTACGCAGTGAAAGTGTATCGAGCCGATCAGAAAGAACTCGGTCGTCGACGATTCAAACCGCTCTGCGCTGGATGCGGTCAAGTGGAAGGAGCTGGCACTGGGGTGCCCCGGCCCAGAGATGAGAACAGTATTCCATGTGGGGCCGAACTTGCGCTTTATAAAGTTGCAAGCGATGTGCCGGCATGAAATACTGTCTCGCTCTGCTGAGCAGGCCAAGCTTTTTAGAGGCCAATTTGGCCTTCCCTTCCAAGTGACCACGAAACTGCACACTATTCGATATGTCGACGCCAAGGATTCCGATACTAGCTGAGGCAGCAAGGGGAGTGCCTTGAAACTGAGGAGATACGACAAAGGGGTTCTTTTTAGCGGTAAACGCGCAAACTTGTGTCTTTTGGGGATTGAACTGGACTAGATTTAGTCGGCCCCAATCCGAGACTTTGTTAAGCAAAGACTCGACTTCAGACACAAGTTTGTCCCGGTACTCAGCGACGTTTTCCTCAGAAATATTGGCACGGCC